TGAATAAGGGTTTTTCAGAGTCGGCAACGCGCACGTGATACCCCTAGTGGTACAGGCGTCCATAGACTACAGTTTTTCCATCAGACGGGCTGTATGTTTGTTTGCCACTTTTGTGGTATAAAAAAAGTGTACCGATCTTATTAGGTAGTTGATAGCCTTTGGTAGTTGTTAAATTAAAGAACGTTTTGAAGTAAATAATTATTATTTTAATTGAAAACAAGCAAAGAGTTCCAGACATGGTTCGTAAGTTGAGTAGCGTTATTATATTATATATAAATTAATAAGTTAAGCTTCTAATTCCATCGCAACCATCTGGTTGAGTGGCCATCTTTGACTGTACGTTTTTCAAGATACTTTTTTTCCACGCACAGTCACGCTTTGGAATTAACATCCAGCAGTAGTATTTCTGAACAATATTTAACGTTACTTTGTAACCTACAAGAAAAGAACATATTCTTTTAAAAGGCTGGCAGTACACCTGCAATTCCTCCGGTACTGCGGGTGCTCGCTGGCGGCGGCAGTTACTATCAGGTGGGCCTAATGCTCCTTTGCCTCTTCTGTTAAAATAATAATTGCCAGGTGCAAAAAATAAATTAACGTTACTTTCCAACATGTTATAGTTGTCGAAATTTTATACTGAATTGGAATAAATACGTTCCGCTCTGCAAAGTTAAGTCAAAAAGTTATTTCCATCGTTAACATACAGATATGCTAATGAACGATGCTATGTTTCGTTTTTATTTTAAAATTAATATGTGGAAATAAATCCTCAATCAGTTGCAAAAAGAATTGTAAATATCGGTTCAGAATTTGCGACGTAACTGCATAACATATTTAAATCTTTATTAATATTATAAATTTGAAAGTGGGTTTCTTTGTTATTATTTGGTGGCTTGAGAACTTAAACTGTCCCTATGAAATTTAATATATACGCAGTATAAGGTATGGAAAAGAATATAGGTTACCTTTTGTCCCGGTTAGTAAACATATAACGGTAACGACAATGAAATCGCATGTAAAATTCAGTATATAATAAAAAATGAACAAAATAAAATGAATTGAGAACTACCTTCCTTTAGAAGTCCCTTAAAAATGAAGAGATTATATGGATAACCAAAGTGATCGACGAGGATATAGCTTTAAAACTCTTTAAGCCGAGATGACAGGGATCGGTCACATCTGTCGAGTGGCAGATAGGAGGGAAAATTATTGAAGTGTAGATCGAGTACAGGAAAATACTCCGTGAATTGCTTTTTTCTTGAGAAAGACGAATAGTTTGTAAAGATGGCATAATAATAGTTAAGCTATAGATACCCGTGTCTTTTTCTCGTAAATTACGATTAAAATATTTAAATCAATTCAATACTATTAATTCGTATGTTTTGTTTAATTTAAATCAATTCAACTGTTTAAAAGTCATTCAAGTGTCATTTAAAGTATTTTAAGATAGTCACTTTTACAGTTTCCACAATACATACACTAAATGTTTTTATGTAAATAAATTATATATTATATTGTATTATGTAGAAGAAAAAAGAATATTTGTATATTTAAGCATTGTTCAGACATCTGAAACAGTTCTAGACCCAGCTAATCTGGAACGGTAAGAAATGTAAGCAAAATTTGACCTCCACCTGCCGTGTCTGAAGTCCGTAACACGTAGCTACTGGATCGATACGCCGCGGCTCTAAAATTATCCAATACTTGTAGTGCCGGGTACAGTCAGCATGTTAAGTTGATGGTTGGGAGGATAGATTGGATATAGGTTAGGTTAGGACAGACTAATCAGAATATCATACTAATGCCAATAGTACTAATATTATAAGGGTTCGTATATAAATATGTATGGATGCTTGTCACTCATTCATGTTTAAATAGTTGTCATAAGTTCTATTCCACACTAGATAGAGTCTACTCGTATGGTATTTATTATATTTATATAATTTAGGTTGCTCTAGTTCTTTTGGAAGATAACTCTTATATAATTAAGCTTCCTTGCGGTACTCATATAACTTTGGTCACATAAATTTATTAAAACGAAATTCGTATGTACATCCGTTTGTTTGATTTATAATAATTTTACAAAGACCAAAATTTTTAGAACATAATAATATGGTAAGCACAAAGGCGAGCTTATTTCTAAAGATCTTTTACGTGCAACCTTGGACTTAAAATTTGGAAGATGGATGTAATTGAAAATTTTATTGATTGATACAAGCTTCCGTGATGGAATTGAAAAGATACTCGACTTTAATACTCTGTTCTCTGTTGAAAGGTATATTTTATATCTTTTTTTTTTTTATTTAGCTATGTTTGATGAGTTACTAACATTTAATTTTTTTCTCTTCCTTTCCTGTTTATAAATATCATGTATTTTATTTACAATTAAGATTTACAATAAAATTGAAAATGTGTTCTGACTGTACTTCTGTACTTATCAAGCGACAAGATTACGTAAGCACATCCTTCATGATATATTTTATAAGACTTTATTTATTCAATGTGGTTTTTATATGGAACTTAGAATGGCAAACAAGCTGACGGCCCACCTGTTGGAAAGTGGTAACCGTTGCCTATAGACATGAGCGTATTGCTTATACTGCAACATAATAGAGTATACTGTTTCGCCCATGATACCTCCCATGCGTTGCTATTCCTGAGGACTCAGGTGTCTTTTTTTAATGGGTGATAATGGAATGGTAACCCCGCCTGCGCTATTGGGATACGCTGGTGGAGTACCAGTGAAGGATGATAGGTGAGAATGAAGCGGGTAAGTTGGCCCACAAGAATTGTTCACGATGGTTTCCAGGGGGAACCACGTGGAGGTCGACCTAATATATTGGGCATATTGGTAGCAATGGGGCTGTCAAACTCCATTGCTAACAATCCCTTTCCCCCGGACTCAGGTGTCATTTCTCTGTACCCTGTAAATTCACGTTTCTAGATAAATTATCAAAATTATGTAAAAGAAAAATTGATTCCAAAAAAATTACATGTAATATTTTAGTCCTGTTTTGTAAGTGGTATGCTTTTTAAAATTAGAATAGGAATGAGTTAAAGTACCATTATAGGACATTGTGTGAATTGGTGCTTCGAATGGACTCGAAATATTTTTTTAGAGTATGTATTTACTTTTTACCACATCTGCCAGAAATGGTACGAAAGTTAAAATTATACATTGCGATCGTACAGTTTTCAATAGTTGTAGATAACTTCCTTTCGGTCATATATTTAGTTTATTCCTGTTTAGTACTGTTTTAATATATTATATATATAATATTAGGAGATTAGAATCATGATAAATTAACACTTTCGATAGGTACTGTCTAACATTATTAACGTACAAGCCTATCTATTTTGAAACATTTTTAATGGTAATTAAAGTTCAATTTTGTTAAGTTTTACACTTGTTTATAATTGACATTCTTTTCTATTTTTATGTTTTTAGTATTACGATTAATAAAGTATGTTTAAAGAAATTGTTATTCCTTTCATAATTAGGTAAATTAAAAATATGAACAAGAAAATATTAGAATTTTTATAAATATTCCAGGGAGAAATATTCTTAGGAAGAACAGTAATGAGCTGCTTTGTGTCCTATTAAGGATGTTTTAATAACTCACTTTCAGATATAGTAATAACAAAAAAGAAACTAAATCTCATAAAATTTTATCTTCTATATTTTTTTCTTTTTATATAACTTAGAATGGCAAACAAGCTGATGGTCCACCTGATGGAAAGTGGTAACCGTCGCCTATAGACATGAGCAGTACCATGAACATAGCAGAGTATAGTGTTTTACCCATGATACCCCCCATGCGTTGCCATTCCTGAGGACTCAGGTGTTATTTCTCAGTAAATTCACGCCATATCCCACCTTTCAAACCGAAACACAGCCATGCAAACGCAGCTGCTTCACGGTTGAAACACGAATGGGATAGAGGTAGCCAAGCAATCAACTTTTGTACAAAGTCTCCCTCTGGTGATTATGTTTAATAAATTTAATGTAAAAATAAATAAGAATTTTGTTCTATAAAAAGAAATTTGCTTCAATTATTGTAAAATTAGTACGGGAATAGGAGTAACATAGAAGTTAATCCTACCTTTGAAGTTAGAGTCCTCAAAATCAGTTCAAAATTACGAAGAAGAACAATTCGTCTTATAATATTTTGATAAGTCATTATATTTCCATTATTAGATATTGGTTTCTTCTCTTGTATTAAAAGCTAATATCTTAGATATTAGAATATTACATATAGTGTGATGTTAATTTATTATTACCACACTTGTTAAGCGGTTTAGTGTAAAGTTTTATGTGTGATTTATTTAGCCTCTTTTTTTGGAAAAAGTTTGGATTTTTTTTTTCTTAAGTTCATTAAAACGAATTAATATGTACAAGTATAATCGATCGGTTAAAAAATGTTTGTACGAGTATCCATTTTCGCCAATTTTGGTATGGGGTGCTAAAAGGATTGCATTTTTGATAAAATTATAAATTTAAATTACAAAAGCGGTTACAGATTTAAGCTGCTTAAAGGTAAATTAATACCGTGGTTCCATACACGGAAGTCAATCCTATTGATTGCAGAAAGCTTATCAAAATGGATTCAGATTTGGCGAAGGTCGCTATCGAGTGCAATAGGTACACAAAAAAAAATTTTGATAAGTTGAGAACCTCCTTCTTTCACACTTATCGATGTGGCGTTAGGATTTATACCTATTCATAACTTTGCTTAACTTTTCTTAAGGTAGACCTATTGAAAATATTGAAATAAGTATGCAAATAATTTCTGTTTTTTTTATACTTAATAGCTCATGTGACAGCGGTTTGTTCTGGAAAATTACTTAAAATATGTCTTGAAGAAAGAAGAATTGGGATTGCAATACTTTTTCCATTACACACGGTGTAAGTAGATTAAGTACTTAGGGTTCACCGACGTCTCGATCGGTCACTATCCAAGGCGACTGGACATCCATTACAAACGTATATAACTCAGCAAACGGGCGCACAATCACTGGCGGACATGAACGGAGATGGCCGATCAAATGATTACGGATCACAAAGGGGCCTCGACAGTCGCACTATATGCGCAGAAGCAGATATTGATCGTGAAATTATAAAAACAATACGCCTAAGTTCCGCTTTGGTGTTTTCACCAATAATGGATATTTTCGAGTGGGTCGAATGTGATATTTGTGGAAAGTGTATAAATGTTTTAATGTAGTGTAATGATATAGGAAGAGCATAGTTATTATACTATACGGTTATATAGGGAATAATAATAAGGAGTATTGTGCTAGAAATACGCAACGACGTAAGGGTATGTATGCATGTATAATACGTGTATTATGTTTATTTGGACGAAGTTATTTCAAACCACATATCTCATAATGGAAACCCCGTGGCTTGGCATGCGCGGAAATTATATTCGGTACCCGCGGGATTTCCAAGAACCCTTCATTGGTGGATGCCTACGTCATTGGTGGAATGTGTATGCGAAATTTCAAGTTTCTATATTCGGTTTGGGTTGTATATCAGTATGTCAGTCAAATTAACCAAATATGTACAAAGTTCAAACCTATATTTATTACAGATAAATACTGTTATCATAAAAAATAACAATGAGCGTCATTATGTACAGTTACGTCAAATGCATAATTTATGAAGTAGAAATCTGAGGACAAAACTCGATAGTAATAGTCACCATAAATTTTTAAAAGTTTGTTAAATTAGAATGGATTTCGAGGTATTATTCATTTCAAAAACAAATGATTAAAATTGATTATAACTTTTTATTATAAATTTTTGTTAAAATAGTGGACTTTTATTTGTAAATTAAATTGCACAATACAAATTTTAAGCTAAATTCGCATCATGCACTCAACTATCATAGCCTTAATTGTATATTAAAGACTATTAATGTCAAAATATGTAATAGTGGGCGCAGGAATTATCCTTAGTCTATGGCAATGGACCGTGATTTTTTTTTTCGTTATGATATCATTCGCAGTATCTACTTAAGTATCATTAATTTTAGATTATTATTTTTGTAAAAGAAAATCGATCGCAGTAGAAAAAAAATCTCATATTACAATCTCAGTTGTGATAAATAAATGTATTTAAAAAATTGCGAAACTACTCAGTTTGGCTATATAGACATATGTCCTTTGTCTTTTTCTATGTTCCTATTAATTTTAATTTTGCAATTCATAAAATAATCTTAAATAATTTATAATCGTTAATTTTATTTGTAGCCAAAAGAAGACTAAGCTTCATATATTTGTATCTACGCCTTTCTCATTACTAATTACACTATTACCACTACCTACTTTGGCGCCAAAACATTTTAATTTATACTACAAGACATGCCTTCGTCATTTCAAACAAAAAATCTTTTATATAAAATCTATTTCTTGTATCAGCCGTTAACTGTCTACTGCTGAACATAGCCTCCCAAATAAGGGGAGTTTCGCCAGTAGTTGCCACGTTTGGCAAGCGGGTTGGCAACCGTTGTTTGGCTTTTGGTGATGTTTTAAGAGGGACGCTGCTGCCCATCCACCACCATAAGCTCCCTTAGTCGCCTCTTACAACACCCATGGAAAGGGAAGTGGTAGCCTAAATATAAAATATATGCAATCAGTTACTTGAATTTGAAAATTATACAGTACAAATTAGCTTGGCTTTTTTTTGATAACTATCGATACCGATATTTTAGACAGAGGTATGTTATAAATAATAGTATAGTCATACTCGTGAACGGGTGCTGCCTGTAGTGACTGGTCTGCTCTGGTCATTGCAACTGATTTATTTTAGTGATTTGTTTTAATTATTTACCATATAGTATTTTAAATTTTATGATCTGATGCTGTTTAGTAGTTTGTTTCACATTTACACAAATTCATTATTTATATATTTATTAATAGTTAATTTTTTTTTTCAAAAACAGCTGAGATTCTTGTCCGATCTTCTTAGCTGAAATTGTATTCCGAATGAGTTGTAGGGAAAAATGACTACTCAAAAATGCTTATATCTAAGTTTACCTATTTGAATAAAAATATTTCTTTCTTTCTTTCTATAGTAGTTATTTTATTATGTGAACACTTTTGGGTGGTTGCATAGAATAATTCTATAGTTTCATCATACTAGAGTAGTGCTAACCCTTATTCTAGTTGGTTACTTGCTCTGTGGGAAAAAATGCAAGGTTAATTTGTTAATTATTTAATAAACAAGGTGAGATTGTTTTAGTTTTGATATCAGTGTGGCTAAAATTAGTAAGTTTTAAGCTTAGGTATCAAAACTTATTGACTATTTGCTTATTTCGGTAAGTTATTTATTAGGTACCTATCTAACTAATTATATTAGTTTGTTAAATAATTACATTTATAAATAAATTGATAGGTATTTGCTATATCAATAATTAAGGCTATATATATATTCAAATAATATTATATTACTTATTAAATTAGCATTAATAAGTAATATAATATTATTAGAATATCGATAGAAAGGAGGCGAGATAAAAACCGATATCAATTTTATCACAAATAATAAGAACTTAATTACCTTAAATTAAATTTTAATGGTGTTTTAATATAGTAACATAAAACAGAATGAATTTAAATATTAATGAATATTTAGTTGAAATCACATCTTTTTCTTTAAAGTTGACTAAGAAATATTATAGTTTCCTGCATTTAAGTATTAAGCATATAACTTATCCGTGTACCAAATTTTACTAAAATTTTTTTAGCAGATTAAGCATGATTGCGTAATAAAGATATAAACATCCATACATCGTTACAAATTTTTAAATTTATATTATTGGTAGGATTGTAATATTTTATATAATCATATCTGCCGTTACCTGTCCACTGCTGATCGTAGATCTCCCCGATAAGATCCCTTAGTTGTCTCTTACGACACCCACGGGAAAGCAAAGGGTGACCCAATCTATGCCGGAGCCACGTGACAATTTTTACTTATATTTACCTGTATATATATATATATATATATATATATATATATATATATATATATATATATATATATATATATATATATAAATGTAGTGATATTCGATAGTGTGATTTGACTAAAGCTAAAAAAGTAATACAGAGACTTTTCCTTGTCTATAATCTTAGTAAAAATGATAAAAACGGGTTCCCGGGATATGTCTAATATCTCAGCTATCCTTTTGGCAGAAATTCGATCTTCAAGAATAATATAATGCTGAAATAGGTGTTATCTTGCGGAAGTTCATATTACTGGTTATTTGATTAGAATTACTTTGTTTAATTCCGTTACCTTAAGGAGGTGATTTGATGGTACGTGTGTGATTGCAAATATTCAAAGATAGACTACCATTATTATTACCAGAAGTTCTACAATCTCTTGTTACTGTGTCTGTTGAACTTGTTGCTTGTTCACTGCAGGGTTCATTTTCCACGTTGAAATGTCCTGTCTTGTAACGAGACATCTAAATTTTGACAGTGCTGTAGGAAGGACTTCTCTTAGTATCTGTGATGTCTTAATTTCTCTGTGTCCTTTGCAGATTCCTTGTAAACCTTCATGACACACCTTAACATATTTGTGACGTGGAACTTATTCGAGACTCTGTCATGTTGTCATTTACATGAAATTTCAAATAGTAGAGTAAAAAGCAAATGAAATTTATGCAGTAATATTACAAAATGTTAAGCAATATAGTATCAAATTATTTTTAAATTTCAAGTAGTCAAAGCCAGGAACTATTCGGCACCCCTTCGTAAATCTTGATCCATATTACTTTTATTTTAGAAAATTTATTATATTTTACATAATGTGGTAGTAAAATAAATCCTCCATTATTGCAGAGGACAGATGTGGTAAGTGTTAGAGATATATTATTACCTTACGGGTTAATTTAGGGATCCGTGCTCAGGCAATAATTCTGACACTGCAAAAACCGTGTTTATCCAAGTAAATACACCCACTCGTGTACTCGTACACGTTAGCACTCATCGTTTGCTGTTATATACCGTGACTTTGATCAGTGAATTTAAAGTATATAATTAGATTTTGTCTCGCAAAAAATCTATTACTGCAATCGTGACAAAATTAATATAGGGCCTATGTAGGTGTAAAACTCTATCGGTTCCAAAAAAATATCAAAATCAGTTCAGAATTGGCAAGCATTTTGTTCAATATATACACCAAAAGTACAGTGGAATTAAGAACTTCGTCCTTGTAACTTTGATCTTTGGCATTCACTACACATTATTAATATGGTTCGGTGGATCTTACCAGGAATTACTTAATGTTAAATAAAATATTACCTCACTTTCTTCTTTTTGAAGTCGCTTAAAAAGTTAATTGTGACTGAGAAAATCTAAATAAATTCAAATTTGATAATTGACAATTTATAAGTTTTTGGAATATATTTTCATTCATATGAAATTTTTAACGCAAAGTTTTTTACAGAACTTGAAACGTTATATTATGATTTAGTGAGTACTTTTAGGACTTAGGTTATAAACGTTATGAGTTCGAATTTGGTTCATATCAAAAACTATATGTTAATTTCCAAGTAATTCTCCAGTGATGGAAAACACCGATAACAAACCAAATTAATCCGTGTGTAGACCCGCGCCCTGCCATATTTGATTCTATTATGCTTGGCTAAAATTAGATATGTCGAATGTTAATGTATGTACTCGTATATAAGTCGTGAACTCGGCTTGAAGGACTAATTTAGTAGTATAAATAATTATTGAAAAGGTAAACGAAGGTTTCTACATTTATATTTATAACTAGCTGACATGGGAATCGTTGTTTTACCCACTGCTACTACTACCTAAGTATTTTTTTTCTTATTGGGATAAAAAATATACTATTTCTAGTGAATTCTTCATCTTTGTCGGGTGCCCATGATTTACTACACTCTACTCAAATTGTAGTGCATTTATAAAATTTCATTAAAATTGGTTGAGTGGTTTCAGGAGATTAGCGTGAACGAACGTATTGGGATATGGGATTTTCATATACTTATTAAGACTAGTCTAGTTGCAACTTGATCCACGCGATCAGAATATATTGATAGAAAAGTAGCCTATGTTCTTTAATATTATAAATAATAAGTGCACACCAAATTCCGAAACGATATTTTGAGTAGGTTTAATGGCTCGATAATAATTGCCAAGAGATAAACGTGCAAACTCACTTTAAAATTTTATGTCATTAGCAAGGATTTCAATTGTAAAAAAAATTCGTGTTACTGATATTAATATTATTGGCACGACGTAGAAATCAATTTTGTATATTATTGTAAAAGTTTTGTACACATAAAAAAAAATAGGAATATTCAAGGTAATGTCTTATTCCAAGTTGGATGTTGTTGAGTTTTTGCCCCAAGACTGTATATTAAATTAAAGAGTTATGGAACTTCGAATAAGAATAACTTTGCCAACCGTTGGACAGTTAAAAATTAAAAGTTTTTTCTTTGTATAAAAAATAATTAAGTGTCCTTAAAAGCTTTTAACATTACGTGTATTTCAAATGACTCTTCAGGTCCGTATAATCGAATTGGAGTATTTAAATTTCCCTTAGGACGGTGAAGTGTTTTCTTAATTTCATTTCAGGAATCAAAGCAACTGTTTCTACAACTATTAATTGGATTATAGTTATATTTGTTTTATATTTATATATTAGCTATTTGATCTTTTTTCTAAGTCATAAACAGCCAAATTGTTTTAATGTTTTTTACCATATAAATATTTTTTTTTCTGGATAGGGACAAATATGAAATATACTTTAAGACTTTTTTTTATTTTTATTTCGAATTAGGCACACCAACAGTATACATATTATACATAAATTAAAATAACATTTCTTATGTAGTATGCTGATATGCATACGTATAGCAGACTTATTATATACCTATCAAATATACATAAAAAATCATAAAAATCGTTCGATCCGTTTTAGAGGAGTTCGATCACTAACACCGTGATATGAAATTTTTATATATAGTATAAGATTATATTAGATTTAAATTCAGTAGTGGTAGATTTTCAAAATTATCAGTAACTATATATAAGCTCGATGAAATTTGGGCAGGACGAATCTTGTGTTGCCCGCAAGGGCAATGGCCGTGAATTTTCATTTTAATTTTATTATAAAATTTTAAAGTTTCAGAAGTAGTTTAATTTTTTATTATTATTAATTTAGGAACCTTTCTAAATTAAGTAGTAGATACTACTCTTAATATATACATTTTAATTTATTTGGCCGATATAAATAAACGAGTTTAAAATAGATCAGTATCTGCGTCGTTAAATTTGGGATTACCTAATTTAAAATCGATCGGAATGTTTAAACTTTGGTAAAGTATCTTTGTTTGTGAAAGTTTCGCAATGTACGTGAGTACTACGAAGGATCTAAAAGTATTAGGCATTATATAATTAACAATTTAGTACACTACATCAGTGTACTAAAATGGATCATGGATTAACAACTATTTACTACAGAGCAACTCTACAGATTTCAGTATTTATATAGTTTTTTTTATAGCACGTTGTGCTATAAGCAGCTGCAATGCAGCTTAACCTTAACCTTGGTCTTATTCGAAGCGCTTTCTATCCGAAACCATTTTCGTAATAGGTTGATTCTGTAATAGTTCAATGTTGAGCTCTACTAGCATTAGTTATTTGGGGGGTCGCTCTCAGGGGTCTGTCTGGAATTTCTAGGCCACTTTCTTTATACACATATGTTTCTTATGTATATAATTTACTGGATAATGACTTTATGCACGAAGGAATTCTAAAGGAAAATTTAAAGGTTTAAGTTGGAATTCGATCTGAGAATTCATGAACGCAGCCAAGCTTGTACGACAGATTAGCTATATGGGTGAATTTTCTAACAAATTTTTACGAAACAAATTTGTTTTATTTTCAATATATTTTTAAAAAGTTATACGAATGATAAACATGTTTATATACGTTTATTTGGAAATGTACTACGTAATTGCAAATTGATATAGATCGAAATGTTATCCATCGTTATTTTTTACTTTGTTATTCTTTTTTGCGTCTATTTATAAAATTAATGAACACGAAAAGTCACAAACATTTTTAAAGTTATTTTTTGCAAATATATGTAAGAAAACAACCACCAGTTTTACCAGGGAGAGACTTTGTACAAAAGTCGTTTGCTTGGGCACCTCTGTCTCATTCGTGTTTCTACCGTAAAGCAGTTGTGTTGTGTGGGTTATGGCAGTGAATTTACATGGTACAGAGTAATAACACCTGAGTCCTCAGGAATGGCAACGCATGGGGTATATCATGGGTGAAACAGTATACTCTGTTATGTCCATGGTACTGCTCATGTCTATAGGCGACGGTTACCACTTTCCATCAGGTGGGCCGTCAGCTTGTTTGCCATTCTAAGTTGTATAAAAAAAAACAAAAATTAGTATGTTTGTGTAATCTACAAAATTTAAAACGAATCTATTCAAATATAATTTATTTAAAATCCGCAAGGAACTGTTCCTTGCGTGGATGTATTTATATAAACAATGTTGAAAGTCATTACCTACTTTTCTTCAGCAACGAGGTCAAAGAAAAATCAAATGCAGTTTTAAAAAAGAATAAAAAAATACCCTGCGACATTTCGCAGGTAGATCCATTGATCAAAGATTAAGTGACAATATTTTGAAATAAAATTAATATACCCTTAACAAATCCCTGAGCTTTTCTAATAAAACGGAGTAACTGAAATAACTGTAAGATCATTATATAAGTATACCTGTTCTATTTATTGTTAAATATCTCATAAAAGTGATATTATTTCCTGTTAAATTAACCTTTGGTGGTTATGAAGTCCTTTCCTTTGGAGGTTTGAGGGGGGGGGGTATGATGGTGAAATTATATGGCTTGGAACCATAATACCAATTTCAGAAAAGTAAGCCACGAATAGTATCATGAGTGTTACTGTATGTTATATGATATTAACGGTATTATTCATATCCAAATTCAAAATGTATAACTTTTTCACCCACTTTAAAAAGAAGGAGGTGCTTACTTCGGTTATTTTTTTATGTTTGTTAACTCGTAACTCCGTCAGTTATAAACTGATTTGGAAAATTGTTTTCTTTTCTTTTATCTGAAAGGATGTACTTACAGTATGGTTAAAAAAAATACTAAAATTATATTAAAATAACTGGTTTTGCCACAATTGAAATATGTTTTTTTTGTGGAACACAATTTTAAATAATTAATTTATATTTTAGCGTTTTCACGGCTCATCCGAGTATTACAATTTGATATAGGTATAGTAATTTAATGGTGGAAGACTGGTAGCAGCTTCCCCCTTAAAATATCAATAAAGTCTAACTGTGGTTGTCAATCCGCCTGCCAAAAGTGGCAGTAACTAGCCCTTGATGGGGAGGCCTATGTTCAGCAGTGAACAATCAGATACAATAATAACAATAATATGTAATATCTAGTATGAAGAAGCACATAAGCTATATCGCGAACATAGTAGGTACTTTTATAAAATACGGCGCTTGCAGCCCTATTTTATAAAGGAAAATAGACGACTATTTGTCTATTTTCCTCTGTATAAAAATTTATTAATAGACAATGTGAACATAATTGTGTGGTACGCGTTGTAGTAGTGATTACACTATGATAACACATTATTTCTTTATATTATAAATAATTAACTTTAATTCTCAACTATTGATATTTCTTTGGCAGGGTGGCTCGCGGACTTCTATGAACATGACCTAGTGCCCCATGACAACGGCACACCCATACTCACGCCATAATCGCTCGCCGACCTGACACGCACAAACACATGTGAGTATTCTATTTATAAAAATATGAGATATGTGATACTCAAATGTGAATTTGTTTTTATAGTCACATGTTAAGGTTCATATTCGACTAATTCTAAGTAACTAACAAATCTCTTGGTACTTATATGAGCGTAATTTATTTCTGTCTGCGGTTTATTTTTTTCGTACCGACTTGTTACGTTGCCTATAATAATTTAGCTGACAGTACTAAATTCCAGCCAATATACAAATAAAAGGTTTTGGCACTCAATTCTGATTACTTCATAAATAACCTATATTAGTTTGGAAATTACTTCCAGTGTATAAATGTCGTATATTTTATGTTTCATATGCTCAAATTATAAAACTAGTGAAATATTTTTTCGATATTATATATATTTACTTTTTAATAACAATAAAAAGATAGGTAGGAAAAAGAAATTTACTGGAGAAATCAGTTTATAATACAATAGAGCTGATGTACTTAAGAAAGAAGTCAGTTGTTGAAAAAATATAAAAAGCTTTTATAACTTGTCAATGTGAACATAGTCCTAACTCAATTATTAATTGTTAAGTTTCAAGAATGCAGTATTAAACTGCCACTGACAAATACATTTTTAAATTAAAATTGAAAATAGATTTAAGAGTCAGTAGACGTGGTGATATGAAATATTTCCTGATGCATTGTCAAGGTAACTCTACTATAATGTATTAAGTATATACTTAATACATAACAATTATGTAACGGACGTTATTGCATACGCAAATATACTTATACATGATGTAAGAAATAGGGAAGTCACCCAAAATCTAGCGATACATTTATGAAATCGAGCGACTATCCCCGAGGGAAGTGGGAATAGAAATAAAATTGACCCTTTATATAAACGGTTCGGTCAAGTGATCGATTCAAAACGGTTTGGAAATTGTTTTCATATTACGACTCATGCTCTTTTGGGAAGTTCACACAGAATCATTTGTACTTGTATTGATATTGTGATATTCATCACAATTACATAACAATGAAGGTGTATGCTTACGTAATCTACATAATTCTACGCTTTGAAGAGAAGAGGGAAAGAGAGATACAGAGCTGAATATACCTAGCTCGAAATTAATTTTGGGTTAAGTATATTCAGCTCTAAAAAGATCTTCTCTGTAAACAAAATTTTATGAAATTTGTGAAAAAATATTAGCTGAGTAAATTAAGTAGAAAAGGGATAATAAAACGTCTGCTAACAATGAGTTGAAATTTATAACGTTTTTAATAGATTGTCAGACCCTTTCTGGTTTTATTACGCTAAATTTGTAAAGTTTCAAGCAATCAAGATTTTTATAGACTGTCTCTTTAAAAGATTCCTGTATTTACTAAAAAAATTAATATAAGTAGGTACCTAGTGTAAAAATAAGTACTTGATAAATATATCAAAGTTTTTTAAATGATTAAATGTATGTAAATATTTCAGACGCTAGTTATTTATTTTACTTGATATTATTCTATTCCCTTCACAAATATGATAGATTTTTATTTATAAAAATAGAATTTCAAGTTTTATTTTTTATCTATCAGTCATATGTAAATATTTTTTATCAAAATAAATATTTCAATTAGTCACATATTTTTCCGTTTACTAATTTCGTTCCAGATCGTCTAAAAGGGCTTAATAATAAGACCGTATCTTGAACTTTTAAGTCTATTTCTTATCCCTTTGTTATAAAAGGATTTAAAAGTACTTCTTGTAATTTTCGCGGTTTTATTGGTAAGCTTATTATTACGAGTATTAATAACATTCTATTATATCTCATGTATCAGAGTATATTTCTTCATGGATATTTTTTTTTTATAGTAACGTAGGTAAATTATAAAAGCATTCTTGATTCAGTTCGTGATGTGAGACATTATAGTGTTGAGTTCGTCTTTTACACTGTTTATATGTATTAAAGTTGTTGATGCTCTCCGTGGCCCAATTGTGGGTGTATTGCCTTGCATCAAGGAAGTCCTGAGTCCGATTCCTGGTCAGGCCAATTTAGGATATGATCTCTTCTGAATTATTTCTGGTCTGAGTGTTCGTTGTGCTCCAGAAATACTTCGTCTGGTTCTTCATAACACAGGGTATACAAGTTTGAAGATTGAGCGATTGATGTGATTTTATAGCGCTTTATAATTATGGTAAATAAGTGACTTTCTTCGTTGGTTGATAATATAAATTATTATAGGTCTACAATGTTGCCGCGCTGGTTGCTAGTATGCTGCGTGGTGCTGTGCGCGCGGCCGGCATACCCGCAGGGCGCGCAGCAGTGTCCCGCAGCCAACACCATCACCCCTTGCAGTTGTACCGTGAAAAAGAACGGCCTCGACATATTATGCGAGTTCACCGAACAACAACACATACAAAAGGTAATTAGTTTAATGTCGCGCTCACCATCTATGCTACACGAAGTTGTGTAAGCTGCCGGAAAATTATTTTAGCTAATAGGAAACATGTCGTCGCTATACTGTCACTGTCACAGACCATTATTTTAAAATAATTTTGGTGGAAGAATACGAAAGTGGTTTTTGTAATTTTTCACTAAAACATAGTTCTGAATACATCATTGAGAATTTTTTTTTTTTTTTTGTATGAATTTCGACTAAATCACTTAGATAAATCCAAAAATAAATGCAGTAAATATATAAACGTTAATTTTCACATTTTACTGAATTAGCGTAAAGTAGAATTTAATATTGTAGTAACAACCTATATACTGGGGGGGGGGAAGGGATTGTTAGTATTGGGGTCTAACAGTCTCATTGCTAGCAATATACGTATCAGGCCTACCTTCACGTGGTTCACCCTGGAAACAGTCGTGGCTAATTCTTATGGAATTCTTCATGATGGGTTAACTGACTTGCTTTCATTCTTATCTATTATCTCTTACTGGTGCCCCGCCAGCGTATACCGATAGCGTAGATAGGGTTACTATTCCAATATCACCCATTAAAAAAAAGGAACCTATTTACTATCAAATACAAGAGTACTTGTAAAAAGTGTTGTAGCGCTCACGTAACGACTAAATAAGTTAACAGACTTGTCACGGCGATAAATGTTAGAAGTCTAGACTAATCTAGACGCAGCAGTTCTAGACTTTTTTCTTGAACTTTATTCATACAAGAATGTGACACATGTCAGACGTGTTCAGCAATGGACGATATATGTAATGATGATAATCAATCAACAAATTAAACACCACCTTTTTTCCGTCGTACCAAGAAAATCAATTAAAAAGTGACATCAAAAAGATTGTGACTATTTCCAAACATTAACTTCGCCGTTAGCGAGTGTGAATTACTCTACGTTAAATTTAATTGTGTCCATTTAAAAGCTTTGTTGCTCGCATTCCACATAAATCTTGGGGAATGGAATGCAATAGTTCGTACTACTGGATAAAACGAGCTTTGTAACTCGTTTGAACATTTGTCCAAGCTATTAATTGTTGTTTTATTTTTCCTTTTTATATATAAATGAATTCTTATTCGTTATGAATAGAAAAGTATTAAGGCGGTAGTAATAATTCTATCATTGTAATATTTTTTATACCATTGCGGCGGAAAACATATATACGGCCCGTCTGAAGGTTAATGGTTAGCTATTAATATATCAGCCGTTAACTGTCGACTGCTGAACATAGGCCTTTTCCATAAAGGGAGTTTTGCGAATATACATTGCCTTTTTTTGTTTAATTTACCCAAAATACGGGACCTAGGCCCTTTTTCTAAATTCCCATTTTTCCTACTCTTACGTTCAGACATCATTTACATAAGAAGTAATTGATGGATTTCAATGATAATGATGTCGAATTAAAGCTGACATCTTAAGCTTTCGAATGCCATATCATTTTTCTAATTGACATTTGTCGTTTTAGTAAAATCAATGCATATATGCGCCATCAAGGGTTGAGTCGATTTGGTTGCTCGCGAGTGTAGTTAGGTATACATAGCAAGCAATAGCTTGCTACGTGCGTTTTATTGATCCTGAAAAAATCTCCGTTCATTTCTTAAATATAAAATTATTATTGATTAATTTAATTTTTAATTGTGTCTTTTGTATGAAGACAAAATAATACAATTACCTAAATTATATGTAATAAACTTTATTTCTAGTTTTATTACATTTAATGTTCGACACAATTAGTTTATTACATTTGTGAAATGTACTATAAAAACATCAAGAACATTTTTATATTAAACAAACATTATTCTTAATTATAATTATTTATAATTGTCTTCATTAACGTAGCTATTTTAATAACAAAAGAAAATTTTCTATTTGAAACATTCATTAAAATTATATTCAGTAGAAGTATTCTTGTAAAGCAATTTATAAATTGATTGCATTGAGTGATACTCGAAGAGCCAAACCAGTCATATCATTAAAATTTGATATTTTCAATGCGAATACAAAATTTCATCAAATATCAATAATTAGAAATCGTATATTGGCAATAAATTCAAGCCATTAGTGCAAGTTTTACCTAATAATTGTGGTCTTATAATAATTATGTAATATAACATACTTTATTTGTGTGACCTCACAAACAGTTTAGATTATACATTAAATATATTTATTGATATTAAATTAACTGTCAAAAGGCGTTTGTATACTTTAGATTAGTACAAAACTTTAATCTTAACTTAAGCTTATCTAATTTTCGAAATGATTATTTCTATCGACTAACAAGCGAATTAGCAAACTTGAATAAAGAGGATATTTTCGAATTAAATTTATTTTAATGAATATACTATTTTTGTTTTAGGCAATGAATACACTGCGTTCAAAGCCAATGATAATATTTTATCTGAAGTTGAGGCACAACAATCTCGCCAAGCTACCATCTTACATATTCCTGGGTTTGGACATTCGACACTTGACAGTACACAACAGTAGTCTTGCTGTCATAGAAGATTCCTCACTCAGTTCTATTGGTGAGTACATAGCATATAAAAATGTTAATAATATTTAAGTAATTGTATTTATTTTAGTTTTCGTAAATTTTATCCACGAACTTATAATTTATATAAATTTTTTAGTTATACTATACCAATTAAAATCTAATTTAATGGCTGTGATATCAGGACTAATACAGATAATGAAAGTTCATTTGAAAACAATAAGAGATAATCTAGTTATGTTTTACTTATTCGTATATGAATGAAAATACTTTATATATTTGATTTTAGATTTGTGATAATATGTTATATTGTCTGCAAATCTTATAATTGCAATTATTATTAAAACCACTACTATTTTTGGCATTAATATTAGGCACATAAAGTAGAATTCAAGAGGAAAAATGTAAGAGTTTGTCGTAATGGATACTCCATTAGAGATGTTGAGTGACGTAGTAATAAATTGACTTCAATGCAAACAGTTGAAAATGTCGGAATTGGTCTTTAAATCAATTGGTCTATATTTTGTACGACTTTAGATGCGTAATGTAAATCCATGCTTGAGTATATACGAGAGATCAGCATTAGCCTCAATCAAGTCTTTTTTCGTTTTTTGAACCCCTGCCACAAAATAAGGGATGTACCTAATGAGTTTGAAGCCTTTGTGTCTCTGTGTGTCGACTGAGGCACTGTAGGTCCTAAACGAATGAAACGGTAAAATGTATTTTATTTTATTTTTTGTTTGAAAGGCTCGGTTAATCCGGATTGCTTTTAGCTATGTATATGTGATAGAATTGATTCATTCCATGTATAGCAGATTATATTATTTTACCTTTTTTGATATTTAGAATGGTAAAAAGGCTGACGGCCCTCCTAACGGGAAGTAGAAACCGTCGCCTATACATATTTAAATCAGAGTACACACTGTTATCATTCCCATGGTATATCATTGCCATTCCCGTTTCTTACGAATAAAATGTTATGCTTTTGTATTCTATTATTTTACTGCAATATTACACCCTTGAAATCGACATACAGCCGTGTAAGCTTTGCAGTCTCAGTAAAAAGTCACAAAAAGAACAAAATGCTTTGAGCACAGCGAAATTTCGAGTGACTCTAAAGTGCTGAGTGGAAAGTGCTTCAATAAGCAAAAATGCTTTGTCGCTGTTGGCCTCTACTATGTTATTAGAGTAGCTTTACCGAATGTTAGATAAGTGCGAGAGGTGAATACAGAATAGTTGACGGTTAACTTTGAGCAGGATCAGTATGACTTGTATTTTTTGGCTCGGCCCTCGTACTGTAGTCCGTTGTCCCTTTTAAAGTGTTCCTTCTTCCTATGTTTTGTTTCCAAATACTTTTATATAAACTCCAAGTGTAGTTTGTTTTAATGAGACTTAATGAAAATGTAAATAACAGGATAATTAAAGCGTCAAATTGCTTGCTGGTAGCACAAATCAAAAATCGACTTATTATTTTTTGACTACATTACAAAAAAATTTACTAAATATTAGTACAAAAGACGGACTTAATGCTATATAGAATTCTTTCCTAGTCAACTTTTGGAAAAACAAAAATGTGGTGAAAAATATTGGAAGTTATTGTGGCTAAATAGTTACAGTCGTATTTATATTTAATATTTAATCATAAATTATAACATTGGATTTTTATTTAATTCTATTAATACAGACTAATATATTCTAATTCGTTAACAAAATTGAAGAAAGAAATTAAATTCCATTTCGAAGAACCGTATAAAGGTATCGTTTGTTTCATAATAATTTAATATGTTCTACAGGTAATAAATTAACGCAACTTGACGTATCGCAAAACAGTTTGGCGACAATACCTACGTCTTCGTTCACTCACCTGAACCACCTCCTCATACTCAACATGAACCATAACAAGGTAATTAAAATGCCAATTAAGTTAGCGGTCTGTCGTTGGTAATACTGAGATGTAAATACGCCATTATGATTTTGTACGCTACGTAACAAGTTTACTGGAAATATGTTTATTTATATCGTTCAATTTATGTAATGTACTTAAGTATTCATATCACATTTTTACATTTAAATGAATTCGATGAATATTTGATATTTTTCTGAATATAATAAAAACAATGGAAAGCATAACTGCTTGCATTCACAAGTAGATATTATATTAATACATAGCTATAAAATGTTTATAATTGTTGATATAGATATCCTATATTGATGGATAATTAATACTGTTATGTAATTTGTACATTTACAAACAGCCAGCAACTTTATAAAATGGTAAAGGAAAACCATTGATTGTATTTTATTGAGCGTTAGGCTTTTTATAAAATTTTGTACTTGGACCCTTACATTAGATGAATGAATTACGGATGTAATTATTACATATATTATTATTATTTACATTATTACATAGTACATTAGATAATGTAAGGACCTCATTCATTTAATATTAATATAATGAAATATTTCCTTTCATAATTTATATTCATTCAATATTTTATGTAATATCATCCTTATTATCGATTACATACGAGTAATTTTCGTTGTTTACAACAACAAATTTATAAATCCAATTTTCACACAATGAGCGTGAAATAGCATATAAAAATGGATTCTCCGAATATTATGTCGGCGTATGACCTGATTTCTTAAGGTGCATGAATATGAAAATATAAAGGGATGGAGGGGCTTTTGCTAAGACGATCATTAATAAACTAGTTTTGACGTGATGTATTTTTTCACGATAAGGGGAACAAAAATCGTGTAAGCTAAGTTACAGAATAATGTTATGCATGATATCTAAACACAATCTAAGTCGGGCTGTGGTGCCACCGAATAACTCTATAATAGTGTGGATTCATTTGATAATTGCTTTATTTAAATGATATTATTATAATAAATTTAAATTTAACATCAATACTAATTATAATAAAAACATGTGATTAATGAGGTAATATTTAATAATATACAGTGCCGTGTGGTTCTCGCATAGAATGGACCACCCCTTCCTTTCCCGTGGGTGTCATAAGAGGCGACTAAGGGAACTAAATGGTCGAAGGATGGGCAGCAGCGTCCCTCTTAAAATATCACTAAAGCCTACCTGCCTAGCCTGCTGCCAAGCATGGCAACTACTGGAAAAACTCATGGGGGAGGCCTACATTGACCAATGGATACTAAACGGTTTATATGATGATGATTAAATAATATGAATTAAATTAAATTAAAATGCAAACAAAAATTTACTTTAATGTAGATAAATAAATATGTCCATAATTACAATTCCTAATTGTGTAGCTTAATAAATCAATTTAAACAATTAAATAATTCACAAAATATATTTTCCTATCTCATATGAAGTTAAATCGTTAGCGCGTTTATTTTTTACAGTACCGATAAACAATTTGAGTATGGGATTTTCACTTTCGTAGAAAACCAATTACCCTATTTTCTACACGCAGAATGAAATTCCCGTTACATAACCTGGTTAGTAAACAGGATTGTTTACCCTCACAGAAAATCTGTTACCTAAAACAGTTTGTACAACGAACAAAGGGTCCAAAATAAAAAAAAAAAAAACCTTTTCTTTATTCATGGTTAGAGAAGGATAAAGCATAACACTTACACTTGTCCTTTATTTGTTGTTCTTACTTAAATTTATAATGAAACAATTTCTTTTAAGGTAACTGCAGTGCATAACAGAGCTTTTATGGGCCTAGATACATTGGAGATCTTGACTCTGTACGAGAATAGAATATCTGTTGTTGACGGTGAAGCTTTCAAAGGGCTGGAAAAGTAAGTATTTTACTTAACTTTTATTAAAGATTTTTTATAACCAATTCGTTTGTTGTCCTATACAAGGATTGTTTTCTATTTGTCATGTAAACTGTCGTTAGGTATTAGAGGTTTATTATAGGTAATATACATATACAATACAATATACAATATTAAACAACCAGTGAACTATAAACGTTCTTTGAGTTTACTTATTTAAACAGTAATAAATATTCATCAATAAGTACATATTGAAAATTTGTTGGTTGTTACCTATTCGTGATTATGACGTGGATAGTACAATTAATTTTCTTTGTATTCTTCATCAGTTTCTTTAGTAATTTTCATATTATGTTCTTAATAAATTTAAGCCTTTTTTATCATTAAGATATTACTATATTTTTATATGTTTTTTTTTATGTTAGAAGTCTAAAGACTATTTCTGATATTACGAATTTACGACATAATCATGTACTTTTTTTGTATAATGTTTTGTATTCCACTTTAACAAATCACATTATGCACCCACTTTGATTTCCCATCAATTTGATTTGTTTACATAATATGGTGTAATTTGATCGATACAGTCAAGGACGTTTTCGAACGACTTAATACGAATTAATTAGAAGGATTCCATCTCCGCTCATCGATCATCGTTACAAACTTCGACATGAAATTTTAATAAACTACATCAGCATTTAATTAATTATTCACTATGCGATTATTGGAAAGTTCATGTTAAGCTGAACAACTTTTCCAATAACGTTGCAATATCAAACAGTAAAAATCCAATTAAAATTAATTGTATTAATAACAATTTAAGGTTAAATATGAAAGTTTGTATTTTACGCAATTATTTGCAATTATAATGGCAAATAACTCGTCATCTATAGACATAAATAATACCATAATCATCATATAACGGCACATGCGCATAGCCATGCTCTTGGGGTCTCTATTAGATAATAGCTTGGCCTAATAACCACAACATTTTTTGATATTTGTTTCAATGTTCAACAATAGTAATCTCCGAAATTGCTCAACTGATTTTAATGAATTTTTGTCAATTTGTATTGTTTGCTTGAAATTAAATATTATTTGCAATAATTTTATTTGCGTTTAATAGTCTTAAACCAATAACAAAGGCGACCTAGTACTAAGTTTGACACCTATATAATTGACTTAAGCGATGTAGGTACGCAAACAGTTTCTTTTTTTAACTTACCTAATAAGTAATAATAAGTTATGTTTTAGTTTTTCAAAGTTGACGAGTTCAGACTAAAACACAACTTACGAGTACGCATTATACTTCAGGAGAGAAATAGGGCTGATAACATTCATGAGCTTTATACAAAACTATTTGATTAAAACTATGGAGTGTATAGCTGTAATAGTTTATCTAACATGATCTAATTGGTTTCAAGGAAGTTGAAACGTTTAAATCTTGGCGGAAACGATCTGACGGCTGTTCCGCAGAAGGCGTTGGCTCTGCTTGAGAACTTGAAAAAACTCGAAATGCAAGAAAATCGCATCGCATCTATTTCAGCGGGAGATTTTGCAGGTTGGATTTGATTTCGTAAATATTAAAACGAGGTTATTTGTAATGTTAGTTATTATTAACTTTATTAATTAAAGTAAGTAACAAACGTATAAAGTTATAACACAAATAGTATTTAGGAATTATTCTTTCAATGGCATGATGTGACATAACAGCATAAATCTTTTCCTTTGCATGTAATAACATCTTTTATTTCAGGTCTTCGTAACCTAGATTCGCTAGGTTTAGCACATAATCAGTTACGTGAAGTACCAGCTGAGGTATTTTCACATTTGGTATTCCTCAACTCGTTAGAATTAGAAGGTAATCAAATCCAACGGATTGATGAGAAGGCTTTCGCTGGACTTGAAGGTATACTATCTTTTTTTATATACTTAATTTTATACGTAATTATTTTGTAAATGTAAAAGATATAATTTGCTATTATAATATATATCAAATTTTAATGTGAAATGAATTTTATTCATTTATTTATTATTACAAAATCTACAGCTCTTAAAATCTATATTTTAGTGTTACTATTAATTAACTAACTACAGCCAATTACGGATGTACAATTTATAAAATATACCTTATTAAGAAGTAAGCGTTTACAAAGCTGAAGTTATGTGTGTGTACGTGTGTGTGTGTATATGCGTATGTGCGCATGCGTGCGTATGACTATTTGTGTGCATGTGTGTGTGCGTGTGTGCGTGTATGCGTACGGGCGTGCCTGTGTGTGTATGTATATGAGTGTGTATGTGTATTAGTGTTTTATGACATGATATACTGTAGTTAGTGTTAATGTTGCTATAATACATATATTCTCTCATCCAAACTAAAAAAAATGTGTCTAGTTATGTGGTACTTAAAATGTTTATAACAGATATTTTAAAGGTCGCCTTATTAAATTTTGTAAAGTTTAAACGTTGTATTATATAAGTCACAAAATCGGGACAGTTTCATTTGTCCCTATCAACGTTTCCCCACCGGTGTGTTGAGAATGAAATTTTTCTACCTGCCCCTATTATTGTTCTATCATTAGGGATAACTGTAACAAAATGTCCACTTTTCCCTGCTGTTTAATTTAAGTTAATTTGGTGATATCTAAATTTTATTTTTCTTGATAGTACTTCAATAAATTGGTTATAATATGAGTATCATTAAAAATCCTTGTACCTCATAGTACCTGTCATTTACTTTTAAAATTATTCATGTAAGCAACTAGCTTCGCTATCTGTATCACCGTCAAATATACTTGATGATCAATTATTGTAATTTTTACGTTTCACAAAAAACAATACCTCATTAATTTTATTTATTATTTATTTTATTTATTCATAAACAAAAATTTGTATTTGAATGTTATAGTAAATATTTTCCGGTATCAATTTATTCAATTCAATTTATTTTATTCAATTTATTTTTACTTGCATTAGGTCGATCATTAATAAATCCGAAAAAGAGTACAAGTATTCTTAATTGTAAACATATTATAATTTTGTTGTTTGATTAGAATTATTTTAATTTCGCTATCATTAATATGAGCGTGACTGCAAACACTTGAAGATTGACCACCAGAAGAAGAATTTTTACCAGAAGTTAAAAATAGTCACACATTAATAGTAGCGGGATTAAACAAAATAATTCTAATCAAATAACCATAATTTCGCAGAATTTTATAATTTCTTGTAAAATTTATTAGAAAACCTGCAATATCTCCGTTTGGGCGACAACCGCTTGCATGAGATTCCGTCAGAGGCTCTTCGCCCGCTGCACCGTCTGCGCCATTTGGACCTACGCTCCAACAACATCACTTACATTAACGAGGATGCTTTCACTGGATATGGTGACTCCATCACGTTCCTCAATTTGCAGAAGAATATGTGAGTTTTATTTTTATATTTTTTTAATAAATTATTTGTTTACACTGCAATATTTTAACTTACTCTTTACGTATCTTTGCTAATTTTAAACAGTATTTAATAATTATTTTTTAATCGATATTAGAATTTTATCTGGTAATGTACTCCATAATATTAAATTATATTTCACTAAACATGATCAACAAACTATCACTTCTAAAGCACGAGTGGTAATAGACGCCTATCAATATTAATGACGCTACATATCCTATGTCGCCCATAATATTTCTCTTATTCACCTTACCACTTTATTTATTATTTTATTTTTTATTAAAGAAAAACCAACAGTTAGTAAATTTCGTAATAAAAAAATCAATGAAGACAATAAGCCAATTACAGGTTGTCACAAATGAATAGAAGATTTAAGTAGATAATTTACCAAGGTTTAAAAACTAATAAGTATAACTAAATAAAATTTAAAGTAAGAACATTATAGTGGTAAAAACATTATAGTTAAACAAAATACAGTTATACAAAATAAAAAAATAGAATGTTGAATTATTAAAGAACCACTGACTCAGCACACGTCTTGCGGATTCTATCTTAGAATTAAATAAACCTAAATCGAGATCTCTAGATATTTTATTATAGTTATCGCTTGTACGCCGGAGATATGAATTTGTAGATTATGGTAATATGCTTTGTTATCAGAAATTGCACTAGATTAAAGCATCCATATACTTTCAAACTAAAATACAACAACGCACACATTGTTATGTTATGTTAAAAATAGATTATTCCTTTTTAAAGCTAAAGCTTTTCTTATATTAAATATATTATATACAGTGGATCAAAGATTATTATTTTATGTTGTTAAAACCTGATCATTGTTATATTACAAGTAACTATTTATAATATCTCAGGGAGATGTTAAAAATATAAATTGTACATAATAATATGAATAAAATTATGAATTGTACGTAATAGGTTAAATTCAATAATCCAATCTATTACGTATAATGTACAAGCTTAGATTATATAGATAGAGCATCAAGCCTCAAATTAGCTAATTGTTAAATTTGCTGACTCGTTTCATCATTTATCAGTGTTCTATCTTTATGCACATAATATATCTTGACGTAATTTTAATAAATAAAATAAATGTTTACGCATTAAAAAGATGCAGAAATTATAAGACTCACTCATTACTATTTACCATGCAAAATTGTATGAAAAAATTGGACCGTTTTTCTCGAAGCGTTTTTATGGAGACACTCTACCTATGTAATCTAAGTGTACAAGCTATCTTTACTGTTATTTTTTATACACCTTAAAATGGCAAACAAGCTAAGGCTTCAGTTGAATTATTTCAAATAAGGAAAATCTAATGACTTTTTCTCGTTAATTTAAATTTAAATTTACTTTAGATTTTATCGTTCTCCAAGTCGGAAACAAATTTGGAATCGAATATAAATTTCAGTCTTGATTAATAAAATAAATTTCCCTCTTTAACAACGTTAGTAGTAGAAATAATTTTGTTCCTTGATTTACAATATTGAATTTTCCTCGATTGCTTAGCTAAATTGAGATTTACAATCTTATTACATGATTGATTAGATCTAAATTACTTCGATTATCGCTCGTTACTATGAATAAGAGTATTGCGTGTTCGCAAACTTAGTCGTTCGCTTCGTTACTTTCACACAACGGATACTAAGTTTTCCTTGTTCTGTACTTGATATTATATGATCATATACTATATTTTTAAACTATTGTGGATAACAGGATACATCAGCTGCCGACGATGGGCTTCGACAACCTCAACTCTCTAGAAACGTTGAACTTGCAAAACAACAGGCTTCAGCATATACCTGAAGAGATAATGGAGCCCATATTGGATACGTTACGCGTAGTTGATATAATGGGTAAGTGAACAAGTTACTTGTACAACGTAGGTTTATAAGTAAATTAGCTTATTTATAGAATGCTTAACTGCTCTATTGGAGTCCTGAGCTCGAATGCTAGTTTAAACCTACAATATTTTCAAATTCGTGTTTTGATCATTAAAAAATGATTGTCATTTGTTTCGTATTTCGGAGGGAACGGAAAGCCGTCATTCCGTAAACATGTTAATGGTCTTTGTGTATGGCGAGGCCGGCTTCGAAATTTTTGACAGCAGAGCGTGCCTTTCTCACACGAGTAAGTTGCAGTAGTAGTAAACAAGACCTATTGTGCAGACTGCCTAATATAATAGTCACAGAAATTAGTAGAAATTGACAATTTAAAAATGTCAAAGATTTATAAAGTTGTATGTTTGTGTATTTTCTACTCGTTCATTTAAAAGTTTTCGAATGAAATTTAGTACATAGATGCATATTGAACTCAATGCGTATATCTAAGTCATAACGTATTTTTTATCTTAATTCTTGCAGGTAAAGTTGTATTTTACAGCTAGTGAAAGAATAATAATAGTAATAGTAGGTGTAATAGAATAGAATGAAAAGAAAATATTTCTAGAATATTCGTAGTACTAAAAACTAAATATAATTATTAACTAAATCCGAAATAAATTTGTTCTTTTTTAAATAAAACACGTATTCCGTATAAACTAAACGCGGTACTAAATAATGGAGAATTCGAAAAGGAAAAAATATTCACCCAAGACATTGGAGCTTGGCAGCGCTTAACAAGGGAAATTCTAAACTTTTTCATGAAATTTTAATTAGTGTACAAGAAAACTGTTTTTATAACTGAGCGCGGTAACATTGTTAGTATCATAGATGTTTATACTCGTAATTAAAGTTTCTTAATAACTTATTTAAGATTTTGTTTCACATAATTTGAGTTTAGTTTCCCACAAAAATACCGACTTGATATAAAAATACTTTGACTTAAAAAATTCTGTTATTTTGATTAAAAAGTGAACCACTGAACCGACTTTGATAAAACTTCAATGAGACTATAAATATATAAGAAGATGTAAGCGAAATCTTTACAACCTTAGACTAACTAGTCTGTAGATGTAATTTAAATGACCTAAATGACTATTATATATAAATTATTCAATAAAATATAATATTAACAAAAAAAATAAGTGATAAAACGTGTAATAAAACGAGTGTGTAATCTAAGAAGCGAGGAAGGAGAAAATGAGGCAGATGGAAGCCGGCTCAAGGAGATTAGTTTGATATTTTCCGTTTCTGTAAGCTTAATTACGAAATGAACGAAGTTAATAATACAGTATAATTCCTAATGAAAATAAATATTAAATTTAATTAGCTTTATTTATAAAAAGCATGTATATTTTAATAAGTATAATTAACTGTAAATTATAGCGTATTTTGTTTCGTAATTAAATAATACTTTAGTACTATTTCTTATTATGTGATATTAAATATTTCAAGAAAGTGTTCTACCGATGATGTTAAAAATGAAGAAACATGTTCTATACTAAAACGATGTATTTCATTGGTAAATGGTTATGGGTAGATCTAATTTTTTTTTTATCATCTAATGTTTATTTAAGAAAATTTTTAAATTACCTGACAGAGTAATAATTTCGATTTCAACATATTATAATCGCATATAGCATAGCTGTTTCCCGTAACTTTGCCTGCGTTAATCAGTATATAAATATATTCTATGTGTTAGGATAACACAGAATATTTTATATATCTTAATACTGCATGCTTGAATAGTAAATGAAAACTGCGTGATTGAATAGTAAATGAAAAATGATTTTTTTTAAATAATACCAGTAGTAGTATTAACAGTAGATTAGAATTATCCTCTTATTAGCAGAGACTAACATATTCAGGAGTGAAATATTTATCATCATACCAGCCGTTTACTGTCCACTGCTGAACATAAGCCTTCCCCAGAAAGGGGTTTTGCTAGTAGTTGTTACGCTTCGCAGGCCGGTTGACAACCGCAGTTAGGCTTTACTGATGTTTTAAGAGGGACGCGGCTGCCCATCTCTAAACTAAATTCTCTTAGTCGCCTCTTACGACAACCACGGAAACGGAAGAGGTGGCCCATTCTGTGTCGGGATCACACGAGTCTTTCTGCTATAAATGGGTCATTATTGTGAAGAAGTAAGGCTGAATATTTATAACTCGTAAATAATTAGGTGTATTTTAATTAGCAGTGACTTGACAACGAGAAAGATTATAATTAGTAGCAGTTAACGGTTGTTTTACCTCAAAAACTGCTGGGTTTTAAAGGGTCGAAGCCCTTTGATTATAGTGTCCTATTTATAAATAGTAACTAGGTACTTAATTATTCATAAAAAGACGTTAAACCTTCAACAAGTTGTTGTAATTTTATTTTGTCATTTTTCATACCATTGAATAGACTCAAGACATGAAATAATTATTGTTCCGAGTTTATTATAGGTTTCACATTAAAAAAAAAGAAGTTGAATAACATTTTATATTTTAAATATGTTTTGGATAGTTAGATGAACTAATATCGCTCTCAAAAAATATCGCCGATATCATAATGATATGATATCAATCATTGATATGATAAAGGACTTAATTCCGGTCTATTGACTGTTGATATGACTGATGAGCATAATACAAAATAAATCTCGAAATATAAAATCTATGCATTGCGATTGTTTCTCCATAATGTAGGTTAATACAAATTTACGTTCTCAATTTGTTTACAGATAATCCGTTAATATGTGACTGTGAGCTTGCGTGGTACGAAGCGTGGTTGGCTGGCCTTCGGGACAGAGACGATGAGATGATGCAGAAGAAACGCACCGTTTGCACTATGGTCAGCGAGCACCGAGAGTACAGCGTCTCCAAGATGCCTCTAGAGAAAATGAACTGCAAAAGGAAACCGCCGTACGGGCGTACCTCCGGCGCCACTTCTAATTACCCCACCATTGTGATGAACAGTCTTCTTATCCTTATCACCAGGTGGCTCTAGATTGTATCCTTTACCCTAAGTTACCCCTACTTCGTTAAGTGAAGACTCACACTCGAATCAACTGTGGCCGGATGGTTCGACGCGATGCTTCGCAGGTAAGTTATGTTTTAAACTTGGTAACGTGATGAATTTGTGCAATAAAATACGATACATATCAATTTTGGGCTGATTAAAACAAAATTAGTTGTATTATGGAGCGGTAGCTTGATAAGTAAAGATGGCGGTGTAATATCGAGTAAGTTAGTGATACAGTATTTTTACGAGTTAGACGACCTCTTACGGTATGCCTTACTATAGTGTAATGTACCAAGAAGTAGGTAACAGCAAATACTTGACACCAGTATGGCATTATAGTAATAATAGGTATCACTGGAAAAATATTTCTTATTGAAAAAATTGTACTGAACTCCACCTTCTTCGGAGGTAAACTATAGAGTATTGAACTCATCTTGATAATTGTGATTTTCACGAACGAGCTATAAAAACAATCTTGAGCACAATTTTTAGTTACATATTTATAAAGCCCTTGATAATAAAATTTCAATATTTTTTTATCATTTACCCCTGCCTTTACTATGATAATTAAATAAGCTTTTACGCATTTACGATGTTGACTATTAAAGTATTGTATTTATCTTGTAAGGAACGAGACGTTTTTATGCTATATTTATGTACGATTTATACCCATCTATTCATGAATTTCCAGCGATTCTTTCAATAGTAAGAATATAATGTTTATAATGTTGTTACATTATGTTGATTAAGAAATATATTTTAAAAAGAAATATATTCAATTTGCCTAAAATAAAGTAACAAACACATGGGACTTTATTAAGCAAGCTTGTTTGTTATTGTTCTTATTTTTGAGAAATAAGTTATCTTTAAGTGCGAATTATTCCAAATTTTACATCTAGAAACCTTTTAATGTTCGATTTGATGTAGTTTAGACGTAGATAGATTATAAGTGTTAGATAAAATTTGTCGAATTACATGCTGTTAATATGTTGACACTACGTAGACTTCTTGAATAATATATGAACAAAAATATTATTCCATCTTTATAACGCGTCGGAAAATGTTAAGTGTTAATATTTTATTATTCCATAATAAGTTATTGAAATGAATAACATCGCTTTGTTAGGGAATAATTTTGTTTATAGCTTTATTAATTTCGTAGGTGAAATACACTGTAATTATACTTGCTGTAAAAGTTTTATCAATATTAAGTAGTCGGTAATAAATGTGACTTTAGACGTCGTTTGCTAACGATGTTACTTTGCGAATTAAAGTCCTTCAGAGAACGTCATGTCACAGTACATACATTTAAATTTTATTAGTACAGTCAGCGTCTCATTTAATGGTAACAATAAATGGGTATGAAGTCATTATGAAATCCACGTCTAAATAGGGACGTTAGAGAGCCCGCAATTCATTAAAATAATATATTATTTTATAACAATCTGTTATTATACTTTAATATTATTATATAATTCTATATTTTACCCGCTTGTGAGAATTTCGTCCTCAACTCTGACATTAACGAGTATTTCGGAAAAAAAAATTTGTACAGCAAAAATAGCAGATGTAGATACGCATTTAAGGGCGTCACGCAACCGTGCTCAACATAAACTGATTTCCGAAGGGCTTTGGCAATATTACTTACGGTAAGAACATGATGAATAGTGGTATTTCGTAGGTACTTACTTTTGTAAGCCAATTTTTTCGTCAGTCACAGGGATAACTTTATATGATACAATTTGCCAGCATTCGTTTCATCCTCTGGATTTTATAAGAGATGATTAGGGAATGAAATTGAAGTAAGTACACCAGTATAAGAGAAGTAATATTCAATATGAAACCACATTACAAGCCATTTGGCTGGCATATTATTAATAGTAATTTCATCTCATAGAGTGAGACCAATGTAAAACTGTAGGATATTCATGGGATGTTATGATTATGGTTTACAAATCCAACTTTTGTAAAATAGAGGCCATTGTTTTAAAATATAAATGTATTAAAGGTTGCAGATAACAATTTAAATCTACATCCTATCAAATTGCCACGTATACGAAATTCACTTAATGTTAAGTTGGTGATAGAGAAAACGCAGTAATCCTTGAAATACCAAGAAATCAACTTACGTGTCTGTGTTTTATATAATATGAAATCTCTTAATATTTCATAGTCTCAATATTATTAGGTTATGTATTTTTCTTGTATAAATAAGTTATACTATTGTGAGCTATTGAGTAGACAGATTTTGTTAGTTTTTACTATAATTTCATTTAAAAACGTATATACAATATTAATATCTATCCTAATCTGATGCTGACTGTATGTATTTGATGTTATGTCTCTTAATTACCAGAGCTATATAAATTATGAAATGAGTTGATCTAAGTATGACATTGGCGAGTCTCCTATGACATAATATTATTATAAAAATAGTTTTTATTGTACAATTATATTTATTTTATTATTGGACAATCTGAAATGTACCTATGGTTGATAGGCGTTCACAGTAAAATTTTAATGAATCAAAATGTGTGTACTTTGAACGTTATCAAGTGATAATATTGTAAACAAAAACATATCCCTTAGCCTGAATTATAGAAATTTAAGAATATTAAAATATGTATACAAAAAAAATTGAAAACAAATAAAGCTTAGGTGATGTGATATAGTGGAGGATTTTGTCGTGTTTGCTACGACGACTTTATTTTACCCCTCGTATGAACATAGTTTGTATGAATGTTTGCTATAATAACTAAAAAAAAAAGTTAGATTATGTATGTAAGACGCGAGATAGAATACCCATGTGTTCTATTTACATACATATCTATATTTGCCAATGTAATCATAAAATGGATTGTCATTCATTGTTGCACCGTAAATCAGTAGTAGTTGCACTATCTATGTTTAAATATAATTATATGTAATGCACATTTATTGTACGTAAATGTTATGAAATGTAACATTGTAGTATTCTGTATTTAATTGTAAAAATCGGAGTCGCAAAACCTGATAACATAGGGATTATACTCATACCCATGCCGTCTTATACTCACGGTATATACTCAAGTATTATATTGGAGTTACATGTTATTTCATTATACTCATGTATTGTCTATAATTGGTGTTATATGTCGTGTTATGTCAATATACGTATTTACTATTTCACTTTTACGGTATATAAACTGACGCAAGTTAAAATTAAGGCTGCCAAGTGAAATTTTCTTTGAAATACAGTAGATATATCTATACATTTTTAGAATAATATAGACTATATGTATACATATTATTATTATTATACATTCATATTATTATATCAATATATCTATTGAAAGCAATGAAGCATTATGGGAACCAGTACCAAACATATCTGGTTGATGTTGTGCGTTTTATAAAAGCGTTGCACTTTGAACCAATGATCATGCATATCAATTAGTATTAAGTCACTCTAATATAACTTTTATCTCTATTGTGTGTTATTGTATAATCTTATACATTTACTGTTATAACATTATTCATTGTTGTATGTATGGAGGCTTGTAAGATACTGTGTTCATTGTAATCCATCACGTAAGCTAGGCTGTCACTTTGTGCATGATTTGTCATTATGACAATTTCAACACTCTTATAAAGTGGTGTGTTTTAATAGTGATATATCTATAGACTATAGATGCATCACATTTGTTATTCTGATAATAATTCTGCGGAAATCATAAAGTACATACATCCACATTAAAATTAATTATAGACTTGATAACAGCGATATAATTGTCATAATGACAAATACCACCCATACGTGTTAGCTTTTAATGTTTTAACTAAGACATCTAAGCAACATAGTAAGATACTTGTGACAGTTTTACAGCAATAATAACTTACGAGCTGACGATGGCAGTTTATTATATTGACTGTAATAATTCGAATCGGGAGATTTGTATTGCGTAGAGACAATTCTAAAATTGTATGTCGAACGTTACTGTTGCAATCTGTGGTGTATTCGAGTTTATAGTCACATTTATTATTTAACAGTAATTGTAGGTAATCTAACTCTAATATTGAAAATTTACTGTAAAGATGTATTTATTTAATTTCGGTTTAAATAAAATTTAAATATAATTCAGAGTGTTATTTTATTCCTTCATACCTGATATGTAGTTTGACATCGAAATGTTTAAGGTGGTTGCTTGATTAAAGATTGGGATACTTGGACGTTTGGTAGTTTGATTGAAGATTAGATATTGTATAGACCCTTTGGATTCTATTATATTACTATGTAATGCAATTAATATTTATTAGTATACATATACCAATTTTTAAGTTGACCTTCCGGAATACGACTGTGAAAATCACATATAATTTGGTGCAGTAGTTTTTGCATGATACCGGAACAATCACACAGATAGAAAAAAAATAAAAAAAAATATATTGTATTGGATTCTATTGTTCTTATTGAGACCCCTCATAACAATTTTATTTAAATATTTCCCAAGTAGCAGACATTATCCAGTTATAATTTTATTTTATTAGGAAGATTAGTAACGACATAAAAAATGTCGAAAAATCTTTGTATATGACCATAGCGACTAATGGTTTAATATACTGCTTCACATTTCAATGGTGGTGGGTTCGATTCCCGCTTTATGTAATTATTCTATGAGATTGAACTTCTTGTAGGTTGAATGGCAAATATAGATAGATAAATACTCTTTATTGTTTCCTCCAAAAGATTACAGTGGTAAACTTATTATGAATACAAACAATTACAAGAAAAGCATACACTAAGAAAAAAAATCGGCCTTATCGCTAAATATAAAGTATATCTGTTACTAACCCTAACAGAAACTTTGAGACTTTTTGGAGCAGAACTTTTTATTATTATTTATAGCCGTAATACAAGTAGTTAAGGACCCTTTCGTCTCACCAATTCACATATGAGCGATAAGAATATTTAGCAGAAGAGGATATTTAGTTGGAATGAATAATCGTATATTATTAAAAATAATATTAAATTCATAATCGATAATATCTTTGACTATCCCACTTGGAATTTCAATTGCGGACATAATCAATTGACTTCAAAGAAGGAGATTCTCAATTCGATTATTATTATTTTTTTTATTAAGTTCGTTACCTTATTACTTCGTCAGTTGGAATTTTTTTATTTGTCTGAAAGTTCCCATGGAAATTTTATCAATATCGGTTAAGTAGTTTAATTTTTAAATCAAAATTTATCTCGTTTTGCCAAACTAACTCAAATAGAGTTGGTTTTTCTGTGGAACACAGTTTTAAGTTATTTATTATTAGATATTTAACTCGATATTTCATTTGTTTGTTTTTTTAAATAAATAATAATTATGTAGGCATTTTTAATGAAATAGGACTTCTATATGCGTAAACGAATTCCAAGACTTGCACAATGAATATCAATGGCTTCTTTTATAAGAGTCGGGTCTGATTGACTTAAATATGTTTAACCTGTTTCCTTTATTTCGGTAATCCGTGTTCGACTGAATTGGCAAAAATTCGGCAGTAGAGACTTTGTGAATTTTCACTGAAAGTAATAAGAATAAAATGGACTAGCACTCAAATGCAATGAGCGGAAGAAGAGACACTTTTTTATTCATAGGTACTGTAGTAAATTGAACGAGAATTTTATTGAGGGGCTAAATGGAGGCATCTTATTAAAGGAAATAAGCAAAAAATATACTTAACAAGATTTTATACAAATATTAACTTTTACCTGCGACTTCGTCCATGTGTTTGTTTGTTTATAACACTTTATTGTACAGTAAAGTCTTAAATTATAGGATATAGAGTTCTTAACTATATTAATTTACTAATTATAGAAATTCCTTTTTATAGGATAGGTTCTTGAGGCGGACCTATCCCATAAAAGGCATTTCTTCCAGTCAACCTTTGAATATTTGATAGAAATTGTGAATTGGTGGAGACAAAAAACCATAGCTAATTAAAAAAAAATAGGAAAATAATACGTGATACAGTCACAACACGAGCACAATATTGATACTGGACAACATAACACATCTAAATAATAATCATATTATTATATGTATCACATTTCCCATATTTAGAACTAACAGATTTTTTCATCATGCCTCCCATCAAATTGTTTATAATTACTCCTCTCCATCCAAAGGTTGTCTGGAAGAGATCGCTCTTAGCGATAAGGTCACCCATTGTTTTCTCATTGTGATTATTTCTTGTAGTTATTTATATTTATAATAAGTTTACTATTGAAATCTTTTGGAGGAAACAATACAGAGTATTTATCTATCTAAATGACACCTAATAAATTTAAAACAATTATATCTCTATGCAAAACACTTATAATATTCTAAATTGGGATATGTTCACCGACCAGGATAAAAAGTTGCCTTATGTAAGTAAATATGTGTGTATGGAGTGTATGGAGAAGTCTCCATACCATATAGAATAGTACGTGTATACCAAGTGTCATAGTAATTAATTAAGTAGTTGAGGTGCCCGAGGTTACAAATAAACAAATTTACATTTATAAGAATAATAATTTAGTAATATCTAGAATTGGAGGAGTTTAGCTTTTTTATTGTGTAATACTTTTTACTCGCGACTTCGTCCTCGTGAGTGAAGTATCCTCATTTTAAATTCCACATGTATATAAAAGTTCATGATGATGGGTTGAGTAGTCTAAAACGTTAAGAGGTAACAAACTTTCATATTTATGATATTAGTAAGGATTTTAAAAATTTATAGTTCTTCACTTAGTAACTTATAAATTCTTAGTATATTTAATTTAGGATATATTTAGTTATAAAATCCAATATGGCACTAAATAAGTTTACAATGCATATATCAAAACTAGCTGTAACTAATAAAAGGACCGAAAAACAGATTATTTGTATTATAGGGAATACCTAGAAAATATAATTATAATTTATGAATATCATAGTATATATATATATACGATCCTAAATAGACACAGTACCTTCAGTATCGGAAATCGTTAATTTTGCGGCAGCATCGTGTTTTAGCGATTTCATTGCAAATCGTCAGTGAACTTATAATAAGTAAGTAAGTAATGCGTAAGGTATTTTTTATGTAATTTTCATGTTTCTGTACTATTGTTAAAAATCTAATTCAATTATGATTATGATATATAATATGAAAATATAGATACTGCAAAATATGATAGTGCAGTTCACCGTGTGTGGCATAGAATGGGCCACCCCTTCCTTTCCTGTGGGTGCATAAGAGGCGACTAAGGGAGGGCGTGGGATGGGCAGCAACGTCCTTTTTAAAATATCTCTAAAAGCCTAACTGCAGTTGCCAACCCGCTTGCCAAGCTGGGCAACTACTAGCAAAACTCCCCTTATGTCCAACAGTGGACAGTTAACGGCTGAAATAATAATAAAAATAAAATGATAGTGCAGATCACCTTAACACGTCAAAAACTTCGATTCTAAATGATTTCCTTATATTGAAATTCGATGTTATCAAATGGTTTTTGGTCTCCTCATCAACATCATTCATCTCACCATACAGGTGCCAAATTTTTAAATACATTCTGTTAGAACTACAACAATGAATGGTTTTAATATTGCATCTTAATTTGTTATGGTGCTCTTCTTACAGTATATTATTATGCTGGATAGTTGCTTGGGTATAGGACTTAAAATCGACCCTTCCTTATATTGATAAATAGAGCTTGTTCTTTTACCTTACACTAGTACATCGTGAGGAGAAAAAAGAGTGTGTCTTTTTTTAATGGGTGGTAATGAAATGGTAACTCCGCCTGCGCTATCGGTATACGCTGGCAGGGCACCAGTGAGGGATGATAGGTGACGATGAAAACAGGTCAGTTAGTCCATCGTGACGAATTCCATCGGAATAGAATGCAATAGAATAAATCACAATAGTTTCCAGGGAGAACCGCGTGGAGGTTGATCTGATAGGGTGTATTGATAGTAATGGGGAAATTAGACCCCAATACTAACAATCATTTTTCTTCCAAAAAGAGTATGTTAGCAATCAACCACACTAGTTGTATACTTACTCCTTCAGCACATGAAATGTTACTATACAGAGAACATATGGAATCATATAGGATTCACGTTAATAAATCCACTTGATACCAACACCGTCGAGTTGGGTACTATGGAACGTTTCTGAATTGAGGCGGGTCGTGACCCCAGATGTTTGCTTTCTCAGTTTTCTTATAAAAAAGAAAAGGATTGTTTGCTATTTATTATTATTATGAAATATTATATAAGAGAATCAGTGCGATGCACCGACACTTCTCCTGAACGTTTTTCGCAATTTATTTGTTACTAGTTTTTACTTGCAATTTCTTTTAGGTAACCGGGATTTGTAGATTGATCAAAATAACAAGTAATGGCCTATGTCTTTCCCCAATATCATGTGTATACCAAATTTCATGACAATTAATCGATACATTAAGCCACCAAGAGTTAAGAAATAAATTCAATTTTACATTTATTATATTATTAAGGATATTCGAATATACGATGTTTTGTTAATTTGTATATATAAATTATTGGGAAAGCAATACACATTGCCTAAGTTACGTGTACCTAACTCATCTGAGGTGTACCTACATTATTTAACAGAGACTTCAGTCTGTCAGCTGTCATGTTAAAGCAAAGAGTAGTCTAGCGTCAAGGTAATTATTGATTTTGTTTGTAAACTAACAAATAGTACGTGCTGGCGGAGCCATTATTCCTTGGTGACAGTTGATTTATCACCCTCCGCAGGGATCGGCTTAGTGAGGTCAGACAGATCCCACTATAAGCTTTTTCATACGCGCCGAAGCTTGTTGTCGTCTGTGAAAACAGTGCTGCAAGCTTTATATAAAATCTAAACATCCTCCTAACGTTGAATCTTTCTCTATAATAATTATAAATGTGGTAATTTGAACCATTACTTGGAATATATATTATCCATTCATGCTTAAATGAACAGATTTGAATAAAGAATAAATCTGCAAATAAATCATATTTGTAATTAACATATAGAACATTTTTATTGTAATCCATGCGATAACACTTACGGGTCAACTAGAAATAATAAATGAAGTTTACAATTATACGTTTATAATATCAC